CTTGCAGGAAGGATCAAAGGGTTGCCACGCTCTGCCGCTGCTGAGCTGTTGCGTATCTCAGATCTCAGAATATTCGAAAAGTTAAAACAGCATATTGCATACTCGAGGAGAAAAATCCAGAATGGGAGCTGTGGGTGTGAAGCTTTCCGCTCCTGTTGAAGATGATCGTTCAGCTATGAACAAAGCCCCGGGAAAGCTCGTGGACTTCAAATAATGCCTTACTAGTGGAATTACCTTTTGTCATATGAGCATGGGAAATTAAATATCTCGGCTGGTCTGGAATGACGCTGCTTCTCATGATGCGATTGCCACAAGGAAGCCAACAGAAACTGGCAGCGTGGAAGCTTCTTTAATTAGTAGATGCCTGTAGGCTGGAATTGCTGCTTATAGCAGCAGCATATAAATTTTTATTGTATTGTATGTTAAAGCAAGGGCCTAGGTGGAATAAAAATACAACTCAGTGGGAGCTGCCCATATGGCAAACTTTTCCCCACCTCTCTCTCTCTCTGACTCATTATGTGGAGCAGCTGCCATGCAAAGGCACTTTGAATGTCTCCACGGTGGCCGTATCAGCAGAAGCTACTCAGAACCTGCATCACAGGTTAGGCTGCTGTGAACGCTGAGGTTAAAAGCGCCATTTTAACTAGCGAGCCGATACTGTAGTTCTGAAATTCTCAACAAGAACAAAATGGGTGTTTTAACTCATGTTAAACAGATCCAAGTTAAATTCTGGCAACTGTTAGATTATCACAAACAAGGGAGCCCTGCTCCTGAAACGTGTAGTTCTACTGTGGTTGGAGCACTTTGCGCATGAAAACAATGCACTTCGGGGACTCTGCTGCTTTACTTCTTCGCCGCACAAGCCTGTCTTTTGACAGGATTTCAGACTCAGATGAAAACTTTATTCCTTGTAGATTGCCTTTCTTTTCTTATCTTTTCCTTACTGTCACTTGGTAATTGTTTCTCATTCCCAGTCTCACTGAGTAGTTGTAAACGTGCTGTGCAGTAGGATGGTGGGAACTGTGGAAGCGAGGTTGAGCTTGGTGAACTGTGAAAAGGCAGACCATAGGCTGTTTGTTCAGTTAAGCCAGGGGTGTCAAACTCATTTGTTTTGAGGGCTGTATCTGACATAAATGTCATTTTGTCAGGCCGGGCCATGTGTATGTAAAATGTAACACCAGGTACCAGAGAGATAAACTTTATAAAGGATGCAGGCAAACCCAATTAACAATATTATTTTTTTACTTAGAATACAAACAAAAGCAATTGATTCCTAGCAGTGAAAGCAATTGATTTACTGGGGAACCCACAAAACCCCCAATAAATGTATTTAATCATACACACAAGTTATGGTTTTTTCCCCAAGGGATACTATAAAAGGAAGAGTACCTTACATTTCTATCCATACCCGTTGCTTGTGGGCCGGGTAAGACCCCTAGACAGACCAGTTCTGCACCCCCGGGCGTTATATTTGACATCCCTGTGTTAAGCCTTTCTCTAACTTGGAAATGCTTTATTGATTGGACTTAGAGTTTGGGCTTACAATTGGGTTGTTAGTAATATTAGCAGTGATCTGGGAGGAGCAAAAGTTATACCAGAACGCTGGTAACTTCCTAGAAACATTGGGTGCTGCTGGTGGATATATTGGAGAAGATGGCTGAATGGGCTGAGGGTTCAACCTGTCCAGAGTAGGATTGTGCTCTCCTTAAAAACAGCTTTGATCTGGCCATTTTTATCCATGTTCCTGTACACCCTACATGGTGTTGCCTCTGGACACAGGAAGCTTGAACTAACGCAGGGTGCAGGAAGGCGATTGTTTGCTGACATGGGTTATAGAGAATACATTTTCCAGTTCACGTCTGGGCCCAGTTCAAGGTACAGGTTATCTTTTAAAATCCCAAGTTGCCTGATACTTGTGGCACCTGAAGGGTTGTCTACTCCAGCTGATTAATATGAGCCTCTAAGGCTCTCTGCCCTGTGTGCCCTCGTCTGTGGAAGCAAGATCTGTGAGCACCAGAGACTTGGTCTCTTTGGTTATTATGCCTCATCTGTGAAATTTCTTGCCCTTTGGTTTTCCGGGTACTGATCTTGTTGAGGTTCAAGTGCCGAATAAAAATATTCCTACTTGCATGGTCTTTTTTGCTCATATTTGCTTCCCCCTGACTTTTGTTTGCTTCCCAGTTGTTTAATATAGGCTGGATGGTACAGCTTTTGTCTTACGTTGTTAAATGCCCATTACCTTTGTTTTGCATCAGTCTCAGAGTATTTCATGCTTAAGCCTACCATTTACCCCCAAAATAGTTGTGTTTGCATGTTGTTTCATATATGATTGTTGATCGCATCATAGAAGTGGCAGGTAAAGTCTTAACCAGATTAAGTAGAAGAGAGAGTTTTAAAGGAATGACAAGCAAATGCCTCTGCTTAGTTAGGTGTGTGTACATGTAAAGTCTGTCAAGTCAGCTGACTCACGGTGAGCCGCAGGCAAGAGACATTCAGGAGTGGTTTGCCAGTTCCTCCCTCTGCATAGTGACCCTGGAATTCTTTGGTGGGCTCCTGTCCAAGTGCTAACCAGGGCCAACCTTGCTTTAGAGAAGAAGAGGAGATTGGATTTATACCCCACCCTTCAGTACCTGAAGGAGTCTCAGAGCAGCTCACAAACTCCTTTCCCTTCCCCTCCCCACAACAGACACCGTGTGAGGGCTGAGAGAGCTCTTTCGAGGTCTCTGAAACTACTTATAACTGTACCAGGGTCACACCAGCAGCTGCACATGGAGGCGTGGGGAATCACACCTGGTTCTCCCAGACTGGAGTCCGCGCTCCTAACCACTACACCAAACTGGCTCTCTACAAAAAGAAATTCCGGTTATCCGTTGCCAGTAGCAGCATGAATGAACACACGAAACTGCCTGAGATTGGATGAGATCAGGCTAGCCTGGGTTATCCAATTCAGGGCGGTTTTGTTTCATAAGTAGAAAGTAGTCTATACAAGTTGCAGGTTTTTAAAATATTGATTCGGCAGGACAAATGTTGTTTCAAAGTTGCATGGCATTGTTGCCAGATGTGCAAGCAAGGGGCGCAAATCCAAGTTGATTTGACTTGGCTGAATTAGATATTTTATGTTGTTTTTTCTGCTATTTATGTATTTTGACTAGCTGTAACTTGTGCTCTGGATTTTAAGTACTTTGCTAGTTGACTTGTGGCCCTGTTAGACTACATCTTCATAGGGGCACATAAATATATCCCTACGGCATTAGCAGTAGCAAGCAGGGCAGGAGTGGACTGGAACAGAGTCCACGCGCACCCTGTTCCGCTGGCCGCTTTCACTGCCCCCCACCTGCCAAAATGCAAGCATGACCAGTTTCAGCTGCCCTACCGTGGCCTAGAAAACCCCTCTTTTCCTTTCCCT